TTTATTTTTTTTGCTTTATTTATTTTTGTGCTTTTTTGTGTATTTAGAGTTTCTTTGTGAACATTTTTGTTTTAGGTACAAAAAATTACAAACTTTCTGTTAGTGCCCGTAGTTTTCAAATTTGAATAGTTTAAATTTTGAATTATTTGAAATTAGTGTGAATCACTAGTTTGTGAATAATTTAACTTTAAAAATCAGTAAAGGCATGAAAGAATTTGTTTGCACATAAAATTTCTTCACGTTTCAAATGCCAAAACACATAACTACCCTAACTGTTACAGAGATTCCCCTCTGGGTGTGAAACACAGAAGAAAATGATGATAGTGAAGACGATCACATCCCAGATCTTTGGGTGTGAAACTTTTTCTTCACGTGTGTCCCTTTGCGCCGTAACCATGGAAAATCTTCATCATTTAACAGGATGCTCGGGTCAATATTCACTGTGAATGGAGCAATTTCATCAAACTTTTCATAATCTTCTGACTTGTCTGTCTTGTCATCCACTCCCACGATGTTTCTCTTCCCAGAAAGAACTATGTGCCGCTTTGGCTCATCGTACGATGCATTCGCTTCCTTATCTTTTCTTTTTCTTGGCTTGGTAGACATGTCCTTCACATAGAAAACCTGTGCCACATCATTGGCTAGGACGAATGGTTCGTCTGCATACGCAAGATTGTTGAGATCCACTGTTGTCATTCCGTACTGCGGGTCTTCCGTTACCCCGCCTCTTGTCATATTGACCCATTTGCACCGAAACAAAGGGACCTTTAAACCACGTCGATAGTCAAGTTCCCATATGTCCTGTATATAACCATAATATGTTTCCTTTTCCGTCTTGGTTTCTGCATCAAAGCGGACACCACTGTTTTGGTTGGTGCTCTTCTTATCTTGGGCGATCGTGTAAAATGTATTACCATTTATCTCGTACCCTTTGAAAGTCATTATATTCGAAGATGGTAACTGGGACAGCAAGTACATGTCATCTTCAATAGAGGTGTCATGCATGGTACGTGTCTACAACCAGCTGGCGAAACTCCTGGTTTGTTCACGTGTAATCCAGTCGTCAGACCGCTCCGGGTGTTTGGAGCGTAGCAAATTCTTGTGTTCATCCATATACAGAGCCACCAAGGCGGAATTCTGTAGTACTGTGTAGTGTGCTTCAGTGAGAGAATGTCCGTCCATACATATTATTTGTTCCCCTCCTAGCGTGCCTTTTCCATCCAGTCTACTCTTATGCCACGATTCAGGAACACCAATTGGCTTAAAGTCAGGAATAAAGTCAATACAAAACTCAATGACCTCCTCATTTTGATGGCCCTTGGAGATGCTTCCTTCTGGCCTAGCACGGTTATGAACATATTTCTTTAATACTCCCATGAACCTCTCAAAGGGGAACATATTGTGTAGAAATACAGGACCCAAAATGTTAATCTCTTCGCATAGGTGAACTAGGACGTGCGTCATGATGTTAAAGAAGGATGGTGGGAACACCAACTCGAAACTGATAAGACATTGCACCAAATCATTCTGTAACCTTGGTATGATTTCTGGATCGATTACCTTCTGAGAGATTGCATTGAGAAATGCACATAGCTTCACAATGGCTAATCAAACATTTTCCGGTAGAAGCCCCCTCAATGCAACCGGAAGGAGTTGCGTCATAATCACGTGGCAGTCATGAGACTTTAGGTTCTGGAACTTTTTCTCTGCCATGTTTATTATTCCCTTTATATTCGACAAGAAGCCAGACGGTACCTTAATACTGAGCAGACATTCAAAGAAGATTTCCTTCTCTTCTTTGGTAAGAGCGTAGCTTGCATGACCCTGATGTATGCCGTCTTCTCTGTGCATACGTTGCTGGTCCTTCCGTGCCTCAGATGTATCTTTTGTCTTCCCATACACGCCCAAGAAGCCAAGCAGGGTCACGCAAAGATTCTTCGTCACGTGCATCACGTCGATTGCGGAGCGGACCTCTAGGTCTTTTCAATATGGCAGGTCCCAAAATATAGATTTCTTCTTCCACATGGGTGCGCGTCCGTCAGCGTCCTTCGGAACAGGTTGTCCGCCAGGACCCTTTCCAAATATCACCTTCAAATCCTTGACCATATCATGTACATCAGCACCAGTACGGTGGCGAGGCTTCGTCCGGTGATTCGCCTCACCTTTGAAATGCTTGCCTTTCTTTCTTACGGGATGCCTGCTCGGAAGAAATCGATGATGTCCCAGGTACACATTCTTCTTACAACTATTCCAATATATACTGTCGGTATCATCCAAACAGTGCGTGCATCCGCGGTATCCCTTGTTTGTCTGTCCTGAAAGGTTACTGAGAGCAGGCCAATCATTGATGGTCACGAACAGCAACGCCTTTAGGTCAAATTCTTCCCCCATGTGCTCATCCCACGCACGTACACCTGTTCCATTCCACAGTTGTAAGAGTTCTTCAACTAATGGCCTTAGGTACACATCAATGTCGTTGCCGGGTTGCTTAGGGCCTTGGATGAGCACTGACATCATAATGAACTTCCGCTTCATGCACAACCAAGGAGGAAGGTTATACAAACATAGAGTCACAGGCCAGGTGCTATGATTGCTGCTCTGCTCCCCAAAAGGATTAATGCCATCTGCGCTTAGACCAAACCATACGCTCCTTGCGTCATCTACAAACTCCTTCCCGTACTTTCTTTCGATTTTTCTCCACTACGACCCGTCAGCGGGTACTCTCAAATTTCCGTCCTTCTTACGGTCTTCTCTCTGCCATCGCATTGCCTTGGCATGCTCTTTGTTTTGGAACAAACGTTTCAACCGTGGTATTATAGGAGAATACCACATCACCTTGGCAGGAATCTTCTTCCTGGGGCGCTCGCCCTCGATATCACCAGGGTCATCGCGGCTGATCTTATAGCGCAATGCACCACATACCGGGCAAGCGTTCAAATCCTCGTACTCACCGCGGTAGAGGATGCAATCATTAGGGCATACATGTATCTTCTGCACCTCTAACCCTAGAGGGCAGACAGCCTTCTTTGCTTCGTACGTACTCTCGGGCAATTCGTTGTCCTTTGGAAGCATATCCTTTATCATTACTAGCAACTTTCCAAATCCTTGTCAGATACACCATTCTCTGCCTTCCATTGCAGCAATTTCAGTGTGGTGCCCAGCTTTTTCTTGTCACCTACGCAATTCGGGTACAACAATTTTTTGTGATCCTCTAACATGCGCTGCAACTTCTTTTTCTCCAAATCACTTGCGCAGTTTCTCTTTGCATCGGCAATGGCCCGACCTAGATCATCAACGGGCTCATCTGATACCTCTTCTTCAGCTTCTTCCCGCATTGCCGGCTCAGCTTCTTCCCGCATTACCGGCTCAGCTTCTTCCCCCATTGTTGTATCATCGTATTCAGGGAACCCATGGCCAGGATAGCTGTCGTCGTCCTCTTCTTCTTCATTGTCTTCCATCATAACCCCTCTTTCTCCGTGCTTGGTCCAAACATTATAGTGGGGCATGAAACCGGACTCAAACAGGTGGACGTGAATTGTTCTTGACGTAGAGTAATTGCGACCATTCTTACAGCCAGCACATGGACAAGGCATAAAACCATCCGCCTGCTTGTTTGCCTCAGCCGCAGGCAGAAAAGTATGCACGCCCTCAACGAACTGGGGAGAGCATCGGTCATCGTACATCCATTGCCGGCTCATCTTCATTACACAACACCGAATAGACCAAATTAATACAAGTTCATACATAAAGTTTATACAACACTTATATGCAACAAACAAATAACTCTCTAGCTAAAGCATTTAAATGCAACAACAAATGCGATCAAGATCGCAACTAAGGTAACAATTGATCCAACAGCATAATGATACCAAGCCTCACTATCGATGGCATATTTTCTAATCTTTCTAATCTTCAAGCGCATTTTCTCCATCTTGATCTTGTGATCATCGACGACATCGGCAACATGCAACTCCAATTTCATCTTCTCCCCCTCAATTCTTTTCAATTTTTCTTTCAAGTACTCGTTTTCTCTTTCAACTAAATTTAACCTCTCGACAATAGGGTCGGTTGAAATTTCCGGTTCACATACCTCCTAGATAAAAATATCTATGTCAACTTGATGGGCATAATTTGTCATAAACACGAAATGCAACAAATAGTTTTAAAAGAGAATATACCACATCCGAATCATAACAAGGACGAGGGCCGACGGGGACGGATATCAAAACCATGGCACTATGTATAACAAACAACGTACGGGTAAGATAATTATTATACAAGTAACTATATATCCAAATCACACAAACATCAATTTTTTATATAAAATTTCATGAACAAGAGGCTCACCACAAGGTGGTGCCGGCGACGGGACGGTGCGGGCGATCGACGGTGGTTACGACGGAGATTTAGAAGGCACTAAGTAAACCACACCTACATATGCAAACTAAGTGTTATTTTGACCTCAAATTGCATATAAATCAAATACTACCACATATAATTCCTCCTAAATTACTAAAATCCACAATTAATCACTATATAAACCAATGCAAGAGCTAATCTAGCAATGAGAGATGAAAGGACAAAGTTGCTAACCTTGGTGATCATTTGAATGGATGGGGGCCTGCAAATCTTGACAAATTTGGGGCAAATTTTGTGATGAACTCGAGAGGAAGGAGGGAAGAACAGAGGAGAGGGAGAGAGGAAAGGGGGAAGAACAGAGTGCGGGTGGACGAAGGGTTTATATAGGACGACCTTTAGTACCGGTTCATGCCACGAACCGGTACTAAAGGTACTGGAAGGGCCCCACTCTGACAACATCCTGCCACCACTTTCTTTAGTACCGGTTCGTGGCACAAACCGGTGCTAAAGGTTCGCCACGAACCGGTACTAAAGAGCTCCTCCCGCCTAGCCGTTGGAACCGGCACTAATGGACATATTAGTGCCGGTTCTGTTACAAACCGGGACTAATGTGTCTCACATTTGACCCTTTTTCTACTAATGTGATGAAGTGTGAAACCCAGCTCCCAATGCGCACCGTGCTGTTCGCCACAGATATCTCGACAACCTCAGGGCCATGACCTGGACTGGCACCGTTGTCCAGGAACAGCTTCGGCGGGCCGTGCGTCTCATTGCAGGTGACCATGAAGCCTGGCCGGTAGCAGCCGGGGGTGGTGCCGAAGGGGTACGGGATGTCCACATCGCCGCATTTGCTCTTGCAGCCGGGCAGCGCGATGTTCACGGAACTTGCTGCTGCCGCCACTGTTATGCTGCACCTGAGCAGCAGCACCACCACGGCGCCAACTAGAGAAGGCATTCTCATTTCGTCAATCACACAAATGAAGCATGAGTTTCTGAATGTATCTGTATTGAAGAACTAGGAATTTGCTGCTGTTCATCAAAGTTACCCTGCAGCAAGAATTTATATGTTCTGGACAACATTTGTGGGGAACTGGAAAAGTGATGACCACGACAACAGATTCATTAGTATTTTACATGCTGAACTCCATCACATGCCTAGAACTAGTCTAAGTTTGCAGATTACTTGACCTCCCAGGCATGACAAAACATATTTTTTACAATGAGACTTGTTCACACACACACCTAGATAAGCATTGCTCGCAGTTTTCTAGAAAATAAAATACTGCACTAAGGGATCTTCCCGATGGTATAGACGTGTGATTTGGTTACTTTGCTTGGAGGAAAAGGCATTTGGCCATACCTTGATGGCTTGCCACATCAGAATAGAGAACCAGTCCATTATACACCAATACACCATCAGAACCAAGTGTGACTAGTGCAATTTTTTATTGTACTACTTATTTTACAAGTACTACCATATAAAACTTGTACAGATTGACGAAAGAGAGTTAGCAAGAGTTTGACAAGGAAAGCTGGAAAGGTACCTCCCGGTGACATGCTTACAAAAAAATCTTGAAAGCTTTGGCTGATATATCTGAACAATTCAAAAGAAATGTTTATGGATCATGACATGCTAGTTATCTGCTTAAAATGAGAATAAACATGAGTTAATAGATTTACCTTTCAGATTGGTTCAGGATTCTTTCAAAGGCAGCAAACTTTATCAAGAGCACCTGGGAAGTCAGAGCAACATATTCCATGCTCTAACTTGGACAGAACCCTTCAGATCACATATTGAAGAGAGCTGCCAGCCCTACGATGATTGGAAAGCCCTGGTACTGGTACCATCATTGTGTATGCAGCGAATTTTATGTCGGAGTACCATTTTGTTCATCCCACCTAGCATCAAGCACATATTGTGACCTTCCTTCTCTCTGATAAGCACGATTATCACTGAGAGTGAATGTATTAGGTTCCATTATTTGAATGATCATCCTTCGCACAGGAGCAGGCCAGCTTCTTTGATTATGCTCATGTGACAAAAACAGTAATTATAGTGTTGAAAGCCCTTAAGTGCAACTGTCCATGGTTTAACAAGTCACTCGCCACTGATAGTGTGATAGTGTCTTTCCCTGCTGGAAATACTACGAAGCAACTTGCTGCCAAGAGATTATTCGGCAAGTCCATTAAATGCTTTCTCTTTTTGGTTTGGTCTTTTAATCTTATTTTGGGGCATTAGTCTTTGCAAGCAACTTCAAAACTATATCAATAAAACCTGCCATTAGTCGCAGCATTGCAGAAAAACAAGAAGCTCAACTTCCCTCTAGTCCTAACACTATTCATTTATACTGCAACTTGTAAAGCATGTCGAATGCCATTGTGGTTTCAATGCATACTCAGTCAGCTTTGGAGTCTTGTTACATCAACCAAAATATTAAAAATTAGACGGCTGTTCTCCATCTTTTATCGGCCCGCCTGACTTGACTGCTTCATGAAGTCGGCATCAAGTAACTAGCCATGCGTATAAGCTATGTATAAATCCAATAATTGTGGTTGCTTTTTCTGTGCAGAGACAAATGAAGACGATAGGGACTCCTTATTATCAGGCATTTGGACAACAGACTTGACAGGCTTGCAGTTCCTTGTACAGAGAACTGCAGGATGGTAGGGATTCCTCATGGCTAGGCATTTGGACAATTGGATTTGACAAATTTTTAGTCACAGAGTCCACACGCAAGGCTTTTACCTAAATGATTCATTACCCTGCAAGCACCAAGAATCTTGTGAAGGTAAACTTGATGATGGCTTAGAACAGTCAGTAAGCGAGGAAAAGTAAGCAGCTATTAATCCTTTTATTAGTTAGCGCCATATGATAAGCCATGTCTCTGTTCTGCGTATAAATGGCACATAACACAGAACATCTTGTGGTTTCACACTACGATGGCTATATATACACCAAACAAAGGGCTAGTTAGCACTTCTGTGTGGCTAAGCTGTGTACAACCACATCACACAAATGAGTATGGCGGGTATAGCAGCTCTGCTGCATCTTCTGCAGCTTCTAGCCATCGTGTTAGTGCTAGTCTCGGCCAACGTCGCATCGCCCAACTGCACCAGCATATGCGGCTATAAGCATACCTTACCCATTCGGCATCAGTGCCGGGTGCCACCGTGAGGGCTTCAAGCTTGCCTGTAACAAGACATATCATCCCCCAAAGCTCTTCATGAACAGTTCTGGCGTCGAAGTGCTTGAAATATCAGTGCAAGACAGCACCCTGTACATTGACAGTGGGATCCTCACCTTGGCGGGGGATGAGTGGCCCGACGGTTACATCCATATGAATTGGTCAGTCCCCCTCGATGACAGCCTATATAGGGTGTTAGCAGGCAGGAATAAAATCGTTGTTACGGGGTGTGGAATCATTGTGATTCTTCAATGGCATTCTCCCGGCACAGAACCTGCAGGTACCACTTGTCACCCAGGATGCATGCCGGGTCATCCTGTGATAGCAACTGATGGCACATGTGCTGGTGTTGGTTGTTGCAGTGCAATGAACGTGCAACCTGACTCAAATATGTTTTCCATCAAGTACACTAGTACAGCGTGGAGAAAGAGAACTTGCAGGTCAACTCAAGTCTTGCTTTGGTGGAGAGCAAATGGTGGAGCAAGAAGAAGAATGCCATGGTACTGCAGAAGGCGGTATCATCTGACACCAGCCTTGGTGCCTCCAAAGGCGTACTACACTCCATACCAGGAGTACCGGTTAGAACGGCTGTCAGTTGGGTGTTCAGTAACTTGTCATGTGCTGAGGCTAACAATTCAAGTGATTTTGGATGACTCAGTGACAACAGCGAGTGCCTTGTGTACCATAAACCCGACGACTCAAGAGGAGGTTACACATGCCAGTGTTGGCATGGCTACGAAGGCAACCCTTACGTGCAACACGGATGCCAAGGTATGCTACTAGACTCCCTGTATAATTAGTACGATTACTTCAGGAGTGCTCAAAGCCACAAACTACTTGCTTCATTACTACTGCAGATATCGACGAGTGTACAAGTCAAGGCGAGTACTCCTGCTTTGGCCAGTGCATCAATCTGATAGGGTCATATACCTGTACCTGTCCGCATGGCACCACTGGTAATCCTCAAAAACAAAAATGGATGTTCTTCAACCAAATCAGCCAAAACAAAAAATTCAGGTAATGAGCAAGATTGGAAAATACTGATCTTTGTTGATAACGTCGTAAGCTAAGTGAATATTATTTGTATTGTCAATATTCATGACTGTTTATTTACTCAAAATCTAGACCCAAGCTGATTGATTATGCATTCTCCAGGATTTGCCATTGCGGTAGGAATCGACAGCGGTGTAGGCACTCTTCTAATTATCCTCAGTGTTCTGATTGTAAGACAAAAGCTCATAGTTTGGAAAGCAAGGAAGTCAAGAGATTTTTTCTTCAAAAAGAACAGAGGGTTGTTAATACAGCAGCTTGTGGACAAGGATATCGCTGAAAGGATGATGTTCAGCTTAGAAGAGCTTGAGAAGGCAACAAATAAGTTTGACGAGGCTCGAAAACTTGGAGGTGGAGGCCACGGCACTGTCTACAAAGGGATTTTATCTGACAATCGTGTTGTTGCCATCAAAAAGTCAAAAGTTGTAATTCAGAGAGAGACAGATGATTTCATCAATGAGGTTGCTATCCTTTCTCAAGTGAACCACAGGAACGTAGTGAAGCTTTTTGGATGTTGTCTCGAGACAGAAGTTCCATTATTGGTCTACGAATTCATTTCAAATGGAACTCTTTCTGATCATCTTCATGTCAGCACTCCGCTATCAGTGCCTTGCTTATCTGCACTCAGCTGCTTCAGTATCAATAGTCCATAGAGATATCAAGTCTGCCAACGTACTACTTGACGATCGCCTCACAGCAAAAGTATCAGACTTTGGAGCTTCTCGAGGCATCCCCATTGATCAAACAGGAGTTACAACTGCGGTTCAAGGAACTTTTGGATATTTGGATCCGGAGTACTACCACACTCGGCGACTCACCGAGAAAAGTGATGTGTATAGCTTTGGTGTCATGCTTGTGGAGCTATTAACAAGGAAGAAGCCATGTGTCCACCTGTCAACACCAGGAGCCAGTCGAACTGCTGAATTCATCTTGCGAGTGAACCAAGACAAACTCTTTGAGATGCTAGACCAGCAAGTTGAGACAAAACTTGAAGTGATGCAAACTGTGGAAAATAATACACCAATGGAACAGAACAATGCCAATGCTGATGATGACAACTTCAGTAGGCGATATAGTATGGAGCAAGAATGCATGTCATCTATGAGTTTGCCTCGGTAACCTGATTGACATCCCTTTTATTGGTTTCAATTAATGAAGTTGGTGCCCCTTCCTGCCTCAGTAAAAATTGCTATAAAAAAATAAAAGAGCTCTTTTTTTTCTTACTTGGTTCTTCAGTCAATTGTCACGTCCTTTTTAAATATGCTTACAGATAGGTTTCAGCAATTGACAATTATTTTTAGTTTGCATGGAACAAGGTTTCGACTATATTCAGAAGTAAAGTTAATAAATAATAATAAACAACCACATGTATATATTTTCAGAAAGAGACCACGTGCCTCAAGTTAGATGGCATCATCAGCCATATCTTTCAGAATCCTTCCTAGGTGTAAACTAGCCAGAGATTTATCGTGTAGCTGCAAAAATAGAAGAACAGTTAGTAAATAACCTATTCTGATATGTGTAAAAAAAAGCAGCAGTGTGCTGATAATGCCCATTGATTTTAGCCTTAATGCACTCATAGTTAGAATTCATATGGACACAGAAAAAGCAAGGAATATGCATGACAAGGAAAAACCCACGGTCAAGATACAACATAATTGTGTCATATCTTACCCTAAAAAAGAAGTGTCATATCACAGGTCCATGGAATGTTTCTCCATTAATAGCAAGTTGGCAACTCTAAAGTGTGTTGATGGTGAGCTTTGAAAAAGTTATGCCAGCTTTTGCTATAGTGCCAATACAACTTCGTGTCAAAGGAACATGACAATACAAGATATGGTGTAAACAACAAGAAGAGTTGCCTAAGTCAAAAAAAAAACAAGGGATGGTGTAAACAACAAGAGTGCTTGGTTTCCGAACAGAGTCATATTTTGAGTTTCTCGTAATCTTCCTAGATGGCAATGGATATCCACCAAATATATTGGGATTCCAAGCTCCAACAGAATCAGACAACAGCAGAACTTCCATTCCGTAATATCCGTTGAAAAATATCACTTTCTTATATGCACTGCTAGCACATGCAATAAAGTCCAGACATAGTCTAGGCTACTATAATCCCTCAGTTGGCAGCCAGAAATGATAAAAATGATAATTGAAGTAACAAGTGCTAGTTTCAAATATATTTTCTAGAACTCCTACAAATACACCCAACAGCAAATAATCAACTCCCCAAGCTTCTCTCGGCAGCTATTTAAATAATATAAATTGTTATCTATCAAAAGTTCCAAAGTAAGGAACCGGTTTGTCTTGAACCCCTCACCGTATCCCTGCGATATCGATATGCCCAAAGTTTTATTACAGCCTAGTCTATGCATAACAACAATTTAATTCCTGAGGGGCAGCCAATTAAAGCATGCACGCTTGTCCATAAATACATGTTGGTACGCACTACACAATAACACGGGGTGGTCAAATTGATTCACTATCTCATCTCACCATCCTCTAGAGGTAAGAATGTGCTTACAGTGCTGCTATTCTCGCCATCTCAAAGTGATCTGGTACCGAATGATGCCCAGCTGCCTGCAGAAGCAAGAGCTTCATGAATGCAGTGAATTAGGAACAGAAGTGAGACAGGTCACACTTGAAGAACTTCTGTACCCGCAACCAAGCTGGGAAATGGGGGCGATCGAAGGGACACCAGCTCGAAGGTACTCTCCGAAGGTCTGCCCACTGAACTCTGACTTCTCTTCCGAGAGCAACTCGCCAATCATCAACGAAAGCATCTCCATCGGTGGAGTGTCTGTGCGAAGTCAAAACAGTGCCGCGAGGAGAGTTAGCTTTAGATCACCTCATGAATATGATGTATTTATCATTCCTGCACGAGATTCAGATGATGATTCCAGTGATGGTGAACCACCCAGGATATGAACAGATGAGGGGTTGATGCAGACTGCAGAGGGGATTCATGATGGTACAGCCAGTTTCTGGCAAGATTGCTGTCCTCTGAAGGACTATGGCGAGAATTATTAGAAGGAAAATCTTGTAGAGTTTACAAGTGCTTGCTAATCCAGTTCTGTAGAGGACACCGGCATCATGTAACACAGTAACAGCACAAGAATTATGTAATTGCATACTTGAGGTTTACGAGGAGAATATATATGCAGTACCCGAAATTCAGAACCATTTACTTTCTTAGCAGGAAAAGGCATATTCATTCTAAAAGTGCATCCTTGTAATAGTTTAACTAATGATGACGCCAACGCATTATGCAAACTGTATCATGCGTAGAATTGACAATGAAGAAATGACCCCGTCTGACAGCCGTAGCTATAGTATAGGGTGAAGAATACACTTGATAAAGCTTACAGTACTAGCGAACGGGTGTTGGGTGTTCCTACAATTTTACTCGGATTTTCAAGCTATCCGTGGGCACGAGCGAACTTTTTGGAGACAGGATACCTTCATCTGCAGCCTGGCGGCTGGCGCGTAAGTGAATGCTTCCATCCCGAATCGGCGTTCAGTGGTGGCGCGGCTCCCCGTCGGGCTCACCCACCACCGAGGGGTCCAGGGAAGAACATCCGCTGCCGGCTATTCCTACACCCCGCCGCCACGGTTGTGGGTGCCGGAGCTGGTGGAGCATGCCGCGTGGGGGTGGTCGAGCGGATCAGGGACGTTTTAGGCAAACTCGCAAAGCTTTTTATTAACCCGTCACAACGTTTACAGGGACGAAACTAAGCTCTCCAGGGTGGCCTAACCAAACATGGCGGCTGGTCCCTAGAGTTAAGGCATGTTTTGCAAGTTTGTGGGCCTCGACATTCGAGGTTCTAAACTCATGAGAGAAAATACAAAAATTAAAATCTCTAGATAACTGTTGAATCTCCAACACCACTGTACTCAGCTGAAGTACCCTTCTCAATTGCCTCCACTGCAACTCTGCAATCTGAAGCCACCGCCACCTTTTGGATGTATAGATCATGAGCTAGTGCTAAACTCTCTCGGATGCCAAGTACCTCAACACCTCCGGGTCTTCAATGTTTCTGAACACCATGGCTGACGCCCCCTGATAGAGTCCATCTTCATCGCGGCAAATCACCCCAACAGCACCATAACGCCCCGCCCTTGCAACAGCAGCGTCGGAGTTGATCTTTGAATGGTCTCCCGGGGGTGGTAACCAACCCCGTGGTCGAGGCACGACCTCACGAGCAGCGGGCGATGGCGAGTCCATATAATCAAGATCAGCCAGGAATCTGTTTATAAATGCATGCGTTGCGAAAGGTGTTTGCAGAACTCCCTCATGGATAACTTTCCTCCGTGCATACCAAATGGCCCATAGGGTAGTGATGAGAACGGAAAACTCCATCTGTGAGATCGTGCCACTCATGGCAAATAACCAGGCCTTAGCATCTTCATCCTTATTCATGCACGTGTGTTGCACTAGCTCCTCGTTTGACCAGGTCTCGTGTGATCTGGAGTTCCCTTAGTGGGCCTGCGTGTTCAACCTCCAGGCCCAGGCACGGGCCGTTTAGCCTGTGTTGTGCCAAGCGTTTTACCGGGATGGCCCAGCTATCCTGACCCGGTTGACCAGCTTTGCACGAGACAGTAGCTAAATTTCCTAAAAAACAAGACAGTAGCTAAATCTAGAAAAGACGTTTTCTTAAAGAATGGCTCCCCCTTCCAATTTCCATTACGGGAAGCCAAAGCAAGTTCATTATAGACACCAGTATCAGTATCGAGATCTAAGCTACTACCAAAAGAGCGACAATGAGCCCTAAACCGAAGCACCAAATCCAGCCACCCCCACATCAGAATAACTAGAACAGACGTGACACAGCGACACATCCATACAGATGACAACGCAAGGGAACAAGACCCTCAGAAAGGCACGAAATCCTAACATAGGAGCTATTGTAGCAAAGACACAAATACAAACAAAGCCCGCGCCAGTCGTCAGTCGAGTCTCATCACCCTCAACTCTTCAGCCTAGGCACATTGTATCTCCATCCCCACGATGCTTTATCAACATCACTTGCTACTTGCCTTAGTAGCCTTGCCCCAGCTCCAACACCTTTTTGTTTCGTTCCTTTATCTGCAAGATAGCCAAGCATTCAACCAATAGTCCATTAATTAGATCAATGTCATGGGATCATTGTAGTTTTTGTTACAAAAAATAACTCCATTCCTACATTTCCACACAGCCCAGAACATTGCAACAATCCCAACCAACACCAACTTCTTATCATTTTTGTAAAAAGTTTAAACCCATCTCCCAAAAAATTCTTCTATAGAAGTGGGAGTAAAACACAACCCAAAAGTGCATCTAAGTAGGCTCCAAATCAATGAAGCAACATAACAAGTAAAATACAGATGATTTATTGTCTCTTCTCTACCGCAATACACACATTCCTTTGGGCCCTTCCACCCTTTTCTTAAGAGGGTATCCTTAGTCAGGATACTTTTTCTATTCGCTAACCACATAAAACTTTGATTTTAGCTGGCATTTTCACTTTCCACAAGAATTTTTGTGGAAAATTACACCCTTCAGTAATCATTTTCCTGTATAAGGATTTGACTGACAATTTCTTATGACCACTAAGAGTCCACTCCACTTTATGCTTCCCTTCCCCCATTTGGATCTCCATACATCTTCTTTTTAGATTAATCCATAGTTCCCTGGTCTCCCCATGTAAGGTTCTTCGAAACTTAAACCCTGCCCATTCTCTATGTAAAACCTCGGCCAGAGTGATTCCATGATCAAAACACAGGCCATATAATCTTGGGTATTCATCTTTTAAGGCTTTGTCATCCAGCTGGATGTGTTCCCAGAACCTAGTACTTCTCCCATCCCCTAATTTTGTTAGCATATTTGTAAAAGAGATCTTTGTTTTCAAGCAACCTAGCCCAAAATTGAGAATCTTCATTTTTCTTTTTAGCTCTAGAAATGCATCCATCATGCACATAAACGCCGATTTCCATAACCCTTACTCAAATTCCAGCTTCCAGAACCATTTAGCCAACAAGGTTGTGTTCATGATTTCTAAATTTAATATACCCAGTCCCCCACAATCGCGAGGGAGGCAACAACTCTTCCAGATAACTAGGTGGTATTTCTTTTTGTCCTC